CCAAGGCTCAGTCTTTGGACTGGTTCTCTTTAACATCTTTATCAATGATGTGCACATTGGTGTCAGAAGCGCACTGGCTAAGTTCACTGATGATACTAAACTTTGGGGCATAGCGTCTGCACCTGAGGACAAGCTAGTGATCCAGGCTGACTTGGACAAACTTAGTAAGTTGGTGGACACAAACCTGATGATGTTCAATACTGATAAATGTAAGGTACTCCATCTTGGGGAAAAAATACCCACAGCATACTTATAGGCTCGGCAGTGCTACACTTGCTAGCACCACTGCTGAAAGACACTTGGGAGTCATGACTGACCACAAGATGAACATGAGCCACCAATGTGATGTCGCAGCTGGTAAAGCAAACAAAACTCTGGCTTGCATCTATAGATGCTTCTTAAGTAAATCTCACAATGTCATCCTCCCACTATACTTGGCCTTGGTGAGGCCACAGCTGGAGTACTGTATCCAGTTCTGGGCTCTGCAATTCAAGAAGGATGTGGAGAAGCTTGAGAGAGTCCAGAGGAGAGCCATGCGCATGATCAAAGGGCAAGAGAATAGGCTGAGAATCATGGGACTGTTCAGTCTGGAAAACCGCACGCTCAGGGGGTCCTGGTGGCTGCTTATAAGTACATAAGGGGTGTACATCAGGATCTGGGAGAACATCTGTTCACCAGAGTGCCCAAAGAAAAACAAAGACCAACAGTCATAAACTCCTAAAAGACCGTTTTAGGCTGGACATAAGAAAAAATTTCTTTATGGTCCGAGTCCCCAAGACCTGGAATAGATTCCCTCCAGAAGTAGTGAAGGCACCTACACTGGACTCATTCAAGAAACATTTGGATGTTTATCTTTCTGGGATCCTTTGACCCTAGCTGACTTCCTGCCCCTGAGGCAAGAGGCTGGATTTGATGATCTTTGAGGTCCTTTCCAGCCTTAACATCTATGAAATCTATGAAATCTGAAATAGTATATGCCCCAGCAGAATACTGTGCTTTTGCACAGTCCAGAAGTTGTCACACTAAACAGTTCAACATTGTACTTAACAGTACACTGAGATTTATAAGAGGCTGGACAACTTACACACACATGTACTCCCTGTACTCTTGGACATTAAACCAAGTGATATAACATCATTACTGGCAATAGAGGCAAGAGATGATGAAAAAAAAACCTGCGCCATCAACTGATAATTGAAGACCCAAATAGATGGAAGTTTAATAGACTCAAAAGTCTTAAACTGTTTGTACATGAAGCCAACAAGCTCCTGAAAGAGACTGGAGACACTGAACCAAATCTATGGGCAACAAAGAAGTGGGCCAACTTCTGGCAAAAGTGAGATCTATTCCTACAGTCTTTTATACCAACACCAAACAAGTCCCACATTGGGCATGACCTTGACAGAGAAGTGTGGGTTAAGATGAACAGACTGAGATCTGGATACATATGCTTCAAAATAACATTTCAGAAGAGGAACATTGTGGACAGCCCCTTGTATGAATGCAGCGTTCAACAAACAGCACAGCATGTAATCAAAAGTTGCAATCTTTACAAATGACCGGACGAATGAAATCCACACACTGAGTGATGCTACCAGACAGTGGCTTATACATCTGGAAGTTGATATCTGATACCATACAAAAGAGAGCGAGAGAAAACAGACTGATCTACTCTCAGGTCCGATCCTGCATTTAGGTAGGCTTGTTTGTTTTCTTTGCAGAATGGGTTGGTTACCACCTCTAATGAAAGCAGCACCTGGGATTTAGCTTGTATCCAGGATAAGTCAACTTGCCCAGATTGAAAGCACCAGAACATTTGCGTGAGAAGATTTTGTCTGCAAATGAGAAGGGTGTTATATAAAAACCCAGTTTAATTATCCAATAAAGGCATATCTGTAGGAAACAGTAGGAGAAACAGGGACATCTTCAAGAGCCTCCATCAACACCATTCCACACTGTTCCTAGGCTTGTATTTTTATGAGGGGGAAGATGAGATGTTAGTCTTTTGGCAGAATTAAAGCAGTTTAGCTTCCTTAACTGTGTAAATCTTTACTTTCAAATGTTTGTGTGTCCTGGAAATTTAACTATGATTCTGCATTACTCTAGAAGAGGAATGTGAGTTAGTTCTAGTGTTCCTGTAAGGATTTTACCCTTAAATTACTGGTTTGTATTCCCAATTTTACATCTTCCTTACTGCACTTTTTAGACATTTTAAAAAAGTTTTCTTAACAATAAATCCAGCCTGGAAGCAGTTCGGGGAGAAGCTAGGAGGAGATTCACTCCATGCAGACTTTCTCTGGTCCGTTAGAGGACATCTGCCCTCTCTGGCATCTGCACACACCTGAAAGATGGAGCAGAATACCAGTGAAGATTAAGAAATATGCTAGAGGAATGGGGGCCCCTCCTGGGAATTTTAAGATCTAAAGAAAGTTGGAAAGAGTAGGTCTGCAGGTCCTGACCCACATCAGATCTACAAGAGTAGAAACAGCCCTAGAGAACAGGAAGCAATGCATGGAAGTGGGACCTGTCCTGAATAAAGGTATCATTTCCCTGGTAGCCCACAGGAACTTCTCTGAAAAGCTCTCCAGCGCCCAGTAAAGGGGTGAAGAGGTTCATGGGACTCACTCAACTGCCTCACTGAAAGCCTTATGAGCTTTGATGGGGACCTTCCATAACTCTTACAAGGTAACTTTTCCATAACTCTTCATAAACTATTTATAGACCACCTAGCCATCCCCCTCCCTCTCTCTGACCCATTTGAAACAACCTTGTTCATCTGTGATCGAATGCAGTCAGATTATCAGGCACTGCAGAAGTCTAAACAGGATTTTCAGTCGCCAGACACTCCTAGTAGCTTCCTCAGGGAATGACAACCCTCTCCAGGCACAATGTGATCTCCTAAGCATAATAAGGTTTCATATAGAGGTGGGATAATGGGCGGAAGGACCGTGATGCTTGTGAGGTTCTTCAGTGAGTTTGTCTATTAATAGTCTGTGAAAAGTGAGCTTGCCTGGCAAGCTTACAAAGGATTTTGTAGGGTGATTTGTCCATGTCAAACTCATTCACATCTTCAGGAGCAGTGGAGGGTTCTCTCTCCTACTGCCCACTCATGCTCCCTTCTCTCATTTTTTCTTGCTGTCTTGCTAACAGTTAATAAGGGAGTGTAATGACATGTCTCCTCCATCCAAAATCCATTCTTTCTCTATGGCACACCATCATGACTCCTGGAAACTTCTGAACCTAATGCAAGCCTGAAGGGTATGGACATGCACATATTAGGAGCGTTTTCAGAAGGGCAGTAGTTGTTATGTTCTAATTGTTATGTGTTGGCAAACTAGGAATGATATGAATGTAGGAAAATCATTTCAGCTTTCATACTGAATGAAGCAGTCTTTTTCTGCCAGTCCTTTCACAGCATCTGACAAAGTAGGTCATTGCTTATGCCTCTCTGAAGCAATTAGTCTCTAAGGTGTCACTCTGTCCTACCTTCTGCTTGTGTGCAGACATGGCTAACCACTTCTCATACCTTTGCGGTTTTAATAAGGGGTGATGGGGGTTGGAGGAAGTTAACATCATAAGAGAAACCAAGTCACAATCTTAAATTAGGAGAGCCAAATGCTGCTACTTTGTAAACCATTGGGACAAGCTGTTAAAGTGATTCAATTAAAAGTACCCACAAGATAGATTTTAAAAGAAACAGACAACAATTTTACAAAACCCAGGTATATATGAAGTGGTGAACACGGTACTATTATTTTTCGTTGTACATTTATCTCTTAACTTATCAGCAAGACTCATTTTTTTCAGTCAACTACTGTCAGCAGTCAGATGCTGCCAGTAGAGCAGCATGCAAGCACTGAAAAGCAGCTTAATATAGTATATTGTGCTGTGTCTGAGATGAGATAAGAATAACATCCTATAATCCTCTATTAGAAATTTATTTATAGAAAACCAGGTTTTTCCTTGGAAAAGTGATCTTCAAATGGTTTGTTTAACCTACCCTTTTCCACCAATTATAAGTAGTCAGAATGTACCCTTTTCCCCCCAAAACCCATTCTCTTCTTATAAAATAGAGACTGGTCAATACTGAGTTATTATAAATATATATAAAAACTAACATAATGTGAACAGTAATGAGATACCACCCCAATGTCTCTCTCATAACCAGCAGATGTGGGTGCTTTGGAAAAGTTTTCAGAAGGCCTCTTCTTGGAAATTACTTTTATTTAATGCAGCACCACTATGGCTCCTGCATCAAATTACATATCGCATTACATTTTTTTTAGGATCAGAAGGTCAGTGAAAAATAAATATATAAAAGATTAGAAAGAGAAGATACCTTTTCAATTAGACGCAGCAGATGCATAAAATCAATTACTAACAAAAAACAGGTTAAAACCCTGAATAAAAAAAATGGCTCACTTACATGAAAATCACACATACGGACCTGTATACCTTATGCAAGATAACATGCTTACAATTAAGTGTTTTTCTAACTTATGGGGCTGAATATGGCATAGTGCTGTGCTTCTTGTATTGTATGAGCCCATTTGTCAAACACAAAGAATCCTGGCAGCATTTGCATCAAAAGGATTGCTGCCCTGATATACAAGATACACATGATAAGACTTAGTTTCCTTTTTTGCAGGAACATTTTCTACTCCTGCACATTTTATCCAAATTATTGGATTCTGAATGTAGATCAGAGCAACCAATCTGATCACTTGTGCCACTGAAAAACAACACTTTCAACACTTCACATACCTATTTAGATGTATAAACAGTTAGATTTGCACCTGAAACTCACCCGTGGATACAAAATGTGCATCCCAATTATGCTGACAAAACAGGAGAATGCACTTTAAAAATGTGACCAATATTGTATCAAAATACTTAGGCAGGAAGGATGCAAGAAAGAAAACCAAGGGGGGAAATGTAGAAATGATAAGTATTCTGAAGCACTGAGATAGTAAATTTGTGACACTCTACAGTGTACTTACCTAATATCTGTGCATGTTATACATGTGATACGACGGCTGTTTGTTGTAATGAGGTTCAAAGCCACAGATGTTTCACTGTCAGAAGTTGGGTGTGCTCCACATTTAAAGTAAAACTCCTGAAATATTGAAGGAGAGATAAAGGGAAGATTACATACCTGCAGCTCATGTCCTCTCTTTATCTTGGTCTAACTGACATTTCAGACAGCAGACAAATCACCGCTGCCAGCAGTAAAGGAGGGCATTCATTAGGAATGATTTAGAATGAATTCCTTGCAGACTCTCTCTCCACTAGGCATACATTTTATACTTGCAAAATACCCTAATGAACAAAACTTCTCATGTTGCTTATGTTTAGTACTAGATGTAGACTGTATTTATTTTTCTGGATCCATAGAGAAAAATAAGGCCAAGTTAGATCTAGAAGGGGGTGGTGGGGATTCAGTGGTGTAGTTGCACTCTACTTTGATTCCTAGTCCACCCAAAGTTTAAAGTGGCAGGAGCATTTCTATTCAGGCATCAGTGACAGAGTCAACTGACTTTATGGCTAACTATCTACTACTTGATGCTTTCTAAACTCTTCATTCCACACGTTATGACCCTCCCTACTTTTTAATGGTTTTGATGTTCAGCTAATCAAGCTACCCTTTCATCTGCAATTTTGTTGTTTGTTAGCTTTTCCTAGTAATGTGGTTCCTGTTTCACAGCCCTGAAAATTTATTTTGGCTCTAGCTAAAAACATGAACTCAGGGTTAGAAATACATTTCAGTGAAGCAGTGTATGTACTGTCAAGATATCTAAGAATGCTAAAGATGTCCATTTAATTCTAATGACTGCAGGACTAATTAAACAATGCATTTTGATTGTTTTTGCCTTGTTTGTTATGGCTTATGCATAATATATGATATAACAAATTAATGCACATACACTGAATTTATGTTTGTTTTTGCTCTGATCTTAAACTGAATAATTCAGCCCTAGGCCACTAGCTTAATAGTAAAGCTTCTAGTTTCTTTTTAATTTGATAAAAATATATGTGTTGGGATGATGTTTCACACCTCTGCATCCTCCTTTTCAAAATCCTAGATCCACCCATGAATAAGGCCTCTGGCAGATATTCAGTTAAAGGTGCAATGGGGTATAGAATCATATAAAGTCAGGGTTTGAAGGGACCTCAGGAGGTCATGTAGTCCTACCTGCTTCTGAAACCAGGGGGGTGAACTGCAGTCCCAACAACTGTACCTCCTGCCATGCTATACGTGCATGGCAGGAGGTACAACTGTGGGATCAGATCCCAAAAATGCCATATTGACCATGCAGGGGGAGCCCAGGATCATGATCTTGGGTTTCCCCTGCACTGGCAAGCTGGGTGCCTAGCGCCCCTACGGCTGGGAGACCCAGTCTGCCATCAGAGCACATGGAGCCCTTGAGGCTGGCCACACATTCAATCTATTGTGTGCTGGGAACCAGCCACAAAGTTATTACACATTTTTTGTGTGCTAACTTTGTGGTTCATTCCTTGTTTTATCACACCATTAACTGAATGAATGTGTGGCCAGCTTAATCACATCTTAAGTAGTAACTGGTTAATCACGTCTTCAGTGTAACATTTTCCAGGGACTGAATATCCCCTGAAACTGCAGAGGTATGATCAAAATGAGGAAGCAGGGTCACCCGTAAGATGCAGGGTGCTAAGCACTGTAACTAAGCGTTAATGTTCCTGGACAAGTCTATAGAATAGCCTTAGCAGTGTGGCTCATCAACAATTATATTTGACTTAAATTATTCCAGTTTATATAGCTTGTAGACCGATTTCAATCAGGATAATGTTGCTAGGGTTTTCTCTTGCGTATTAAGCAACATGACCAATAGCTGTTACCTGTGATTTTTTTCTTTTTGGTCTTTTATCACTTTTAGGGAAAATTCAGTATATAGGAATTGGTTTTGGGGATTTAAATATTAACAGCGCTCTCTCTGTATGTTAGAGGAGGCATGTTGGAGGAATGTGCCTTGACTACAAACTTGGAGTGAGTAAGTTGTGATGTTTGTTAGCTTTTGCTTGAACAAGACACAGAGAAAGTTAAATCTCTTGTACAAATATGCTTCATTTGGTTGGCAAGCACTGTCTTCATTGCAGAGCTTTAGCTGACCTTATAGATAGGTGGGGACCAAGGTACTGCATGTATTGAAAATGAAAATAAAAACCTTGAATTTACGGTTTTATTACTGTTGGTACTACAGAAGACACGCAAGATGCATCTGGACTGCTATTACTTTAAACACTTTCTTTTGGTTGCCAATCCTAAACATTCACAGATAATGAGCTTTTTTAAAAAGCAATACATGTGAGATGTTTTTTATTTGCCTTTTGATTTTTAAGCCTGTAAAATACCTTTGGAACATGTTTTCTACCTTTATCCATAAACATGGTAGCTAATTTTTTTCAACTTAAAATTTAATTTAATCCTTGTCTCTAGAAGCTAGGGTTTTGAGAAAAACCCCAGTGAAATGAACTGAACTGCTCATATGCTTAGAATTATCTTGTGCTTAAGTACTTGGCTGAACTACAGTATCAAATCTCTTTTGAGTCTTATTTCCTATTTATTTTTTAATGTTGTTCTTTTACTCTTAGAATTATTTTTGGATACAGTTTTTCATTTATTTTGATTTTTTGTTTTAGGAAAACAGTAATAAATATTTATTGCAAATCGTAAGTTCTACGAGTTGCTGCTTGCTTCAGTACATTTATCTGATACCATGTAGTACTATGATCAGTTAAGTAAAAAAATATTGACCAAAGATCCTAAAGCCAGACATCTACAGCATGGAAACACAAAATAAAAAAAAACTTTGGGTAAAAATGATTCATCTAACAATAATAACTTGTGTTGGTCTACAAGCAAAAAGAAGCATTGAGCAATAATGACAGTACACTCTAAAATACTTGCAATGGTTTTACACTTAGAGCTTTACATTGTATAGGAAAAGAATGTCCTTGTGTCTTTGGTATGCAGAATTTACTACCATTTTTATTTCTGGTTGCTTTATTGCAAGCACAGCAAACAATCATAAACTACACCCCCACCGACAAAACTGTGCAAAGCCTAGTATACTTTAATGGCTTTACATGTTTTCAGTATTCCCTTTTCTTTCTGTAGAGAGAGAGAGAGAGAGAAAAAAGAACATTCCTCTGATGAAGAAATACACAATGAGAATATGAGTAAAATCTAATGCACAGTATCCAGCATAGTCAAGAAGTTGGCACTTGTAGATTGACCTGTCTGCAAACAAAACCAAACGGAAAACATTGGAGAATTAATATTCCCAGACATGTCCGCAATCAGAGAGAACCATCAAAACTACTGAGAAACAAAATCACAGAAAGATGCAAACTGAGAATGGTGCTTACAGTTTGGGAAGCATTACTGCACCACCAAGGCACTGCCAAAATACAACTGTTAAGATCAAGAAATCAGTAAAGGAATAGCAGCCACCAAGAATAATGTATGCTATTTTCTTTCATCATGCTGTTGTAGTCACATTTCCAGATCTTCTCATGAACTTATGAGAGTGTAAGTTATATGTTTCATATTGCTGCCTCCTGGGTGTAAGGAATCTTGTCTAGAGTTTAGAGCACACGACAGGAAGTAAAGAATTTCAAGTTATATTCCAGCTCTGTAACTGACCTTCTGCAGAACTTATGGGGAAAAAAATGACTGACCTGTCTATGCTTAAGTTTATCAATTGAAAATTTCTTTAAAATACTTCGTTAGGGTGTCATTTCTTTAAAATACTTTGTTGTAACTCATGATTATATATGCAAAGTACTTTGATATTAAAACAAATTCATTTGGGAAGAGAAGACACTATTTTACATAATAAAATGAAATACCGCTAGTCTCAGAAGCAAAGTAAGACTAAAAGCAAAGACCACTCATATTAAGAAAGCTATTATCTTTAAAAAAACTTTACAATTTTATCAAATTTTATGGAACTAATTTAAAATACAAAAGGTTCACTCTTAAGTTTAAAACTTATTGGCCATATGTCAATCTGCAGAAAACTTTTAGGGCTGGGTTATAAGAGATATAGAAAAATGCTGTTTAAAATGAACATGTTGAAAGTAGACCAGCACCATTAGAAAGGTAACCCACTTACAAAGTGCACCACCGGGGAGCCTCCTCACAGAAAGAAAAGGTACAAAATGGAAGGTACAAAAATATGCAGTACTGTATACTCAACAGTATAGTTTACTTGGACAGCTATAAGAAATCATGTCCTCTGAATGCAGTCCATATGTACTTGCAGTGGCAACTGGAATCCTTATTCTGAAGAGAATACTAGATAACTATTGCATTACTAGACTGATGTACATACATACATACACACACACATTAATAAAAAGTATTCTATTATATTTTCAGGATTATAAAAGTAATGGTCTCCATGATGTTCTCAGTTACAACCAAAAAAAAGAGTATAACCTACTTCTAAATTGGGTTTAAATTAGTGATTTACAAAAATGTACATCCTACATATGATACATTTACAACATAATATTTTTAGCATCCAGTTTACTATATCAATCTGCAACTGTATATATGGAACTGAGAATATATTCTTATTGAAACAACTTTTGTGCCTTCCTAACTCTGCTTCCAGGCGTTAGAGCAATCCCTATCATAATTAAGACTCAGTGAGCATTTCTACATGTGCATTTCTGTTGTATTAAATTTACTGAGAAGTCAATTACTGTGCAGTGAGTGGGAATAGACCAGAGCCTACACGTGCAGGTGACCTGGGACTAGATTTAGCCCCAACCCAGAGCCGCTTGCCATGTGCCTGTGTGGACACTCAGGGGAGCTCCAGCTTCTGGCCGCATGGCTGCCAGCACACCCTGCTGCTACACCCTGCTGCTGCTCTGGGCACAAATGAGCTCCTGTATTGGGACCCTAATCCATAATGGCATGGGAAGCAAGCCTGGCCTGCCTGGCCTGCCCCATAATGTCCACTGATGCCTGTCACAGTGCTACATATTCCTGCCCCCAGCCGCCAAGGAGAAGATCTCTGCTGGGATCATAGAATCAATGAATCATAGAATCAATGAGTTGGAAGGGAC